CTGGAGAAGTGGAGATGAACAAGGGAGAGCGTCTGCCCCTACAGGGAAGGGTTGTGTCTCCTGAGAACACAAAGCTGTAAATGCTCAATGACAAAGTAGCCCAGGGTGCTGTGCAGGACAGTTAGGTGTCTGAACTCCATCTAGATGGTTCTGAGGAGTAAGAACCAACTGGAGAGATAGGATTATTTTTTTTTGTTGACTTTTTCTTTTTTCCTAATACTATGAAAACTTAAACGGCTAGAAATTGAAATAAGTAAGCACTACCATTTTACAAAGTGGATTTTTATATATCCGAAATTTCATACAAGTAGTTTGAGGATGTGGAATGATCCCAGTTCTCAAGGAGTTTGAAAATGAAAGAAAGAGTTGGATGGAAAAATAACTAAACCAGATTTTCAGCATAAAGCAGAATTTAAAACATTCTGTCAAACATAGTCAAACACTGTTCAAAGGTGGGGTGGGGTGGAGAATAGTGACTTGCATTAAGCCAACTTGTGTATCAGTTGGGCAGGGTGATTATGGACATTTGCTGTAAAGGATAGAAGTACTTGCGATGTGCAGCTGTGGTTGCTAACTTGCCATGCCTGGAACTTAGACTCAATGTTCATGTCTCAAAAACAGCAAATACAGACATAAGATGAAACTGTGGGTAAGAGGTCATGTTTACCAACTGAAGGAAACAAAAGTTTCCCTGCAACTCACTGATGGACAGAGACCTGGTGGACAGAGAGAGATGCGGTCCCATGGGCCCCCATGCTTAGATTGTGGGTTTATCTGTAGAACGCAGTTTGATGAGGGGTGTGATGACATCCTTCATTGTATATTTTAGGGAGATAATTTCCACCAAGCACTATCATTGTCTAGATGTTGTGAGTTTTTAAAAGTAGAGGATCACTAGCTAGTTTTGTAATTACCCAAGTGAAATATTTTAAGATTCTGGATTTAGGATTATTCAGGGAAACTAAAAAGAAAGGACGGATGTCTTGGAGACTGTGGGGAAAGAATATTCTATTAAGCGGGGGATGCCAGAGCCAGAATGGGTTATTAAATATACTGTTCTCGTGGACTTTACATTCCTGGCCTGTGTCGATGGTGAAGAATCCAGCACAGTTCGGAACTTCTTAAATTGTCCCGGTGCTGACATAGCGGCAGCATTCACACAACAGTTATGTCTCCTTCTCCGGTAATCCTTCCCTTTGTCATGAGATAGTCATTTGCAATAAGAAACAAAATAAATGTTTAATGTAAATATTTATGTTGGTGTCACAGTAAATACTTGGAAAAGGAATCTGGGATCCAGACAGTAAGGTGAGTGTTGAGTGGTGATTAATGATAAAGGTTCTGCGTTTGCTGCTGTCCAGAGGAATCATCACATCCCTTTTGCAAGTATATATGCAAATGAACGAGATGGCATATGAATCCACTCTGCCCCAAATAGCAGAATAAATAGTAGTTTTTGATTGCTTTTCAATTATTGTTTATTCATTTATCATAACAGGTTGTTTTGTTTCCCAGATCATAGCTTTTCACAGAGGACGGTAGTACTTCTTCACTCTTACCTGCCAGTTGTTTACAAAGCTTGCATGTGAGTGCTGTGTGTGTGCACACCTGTGCAGACATATGTGTCCACTTAAGGTTGCAGCTAATAGTTCTGCACTTGTGGTATTTCTATTTGCTGAATGTTCTTTTTCCTCACAGAGGGACAGGAGACTTTTTACTATTGTGTGGGTATCACTCTACCCGATAAGACTAGACTAATGCACATGGTCTCACCTAAATATATAAATGCACCTGTCAGTTCTGTGTCCATCTCAGCATTGCATAGTTGGTCATCTACTTTTAACTGCAGATGCTTGCGCTAACTTTGCAAGGACACCGAGCTCAGATTCAAAGCAATTTTCTGCTTGTGAATTTTGGCAGTGATTACAAGCTTGGACATAGACCCAGCTGGGAGAAGAGTGTCAGGAATGGGAAGGATGTAAAGTTCAGGGCTTCCGAAACACGTGTGTGTGTGTGTGTGCATGTGCGTGTGTGTGTGTGGTGATGGAAGTAGTAGAGAAGGAATCTGATCCTTGAATGACTGGAGAAACAAGTAATATGAACCTTTATTTTACATGTAAGCTGGTCTGCTGTCAGAAACAGAGCAGCTCACAGTGCCCCATGGTGATGTATGCAGCTTCAGAGCTCAGGTGGAAGGTCACAGTCAGGATTGAAAATGTGCCAATGTGTCCTCTTTCCCTGACCTAGAGCCCCACAGGAGTAGTCTTGCTAGGCCGTGAAAACAGCAATTTGTCGATAGGAATTAGGTAAGTGAAGCATAAGGCTGGTTCTATAAATGGGAATCTCTGATGAGATTTAGAGATATAGCGAAACTTTATTAAAGACACGATGGTTATCGCTTCTGTGTGTCTTATGGACATGGCCTGTTTCTTCATCTCACACGTGAGTACCTGGGGGATTAGCAGCTTGAAAACAAAGAATTTTCATCTACCATGTGTACTTGTCTTAGGCTCAAGCATTTTGTTCTGTGTCTTTGAGTGTCATAGCTTATTGCTGTTCCCTACTGCCAAAAAAAGGACTCTTAAGTCGCGATAGGCATTGACGGGAACTGACAGCAGCTCTGAGCTTCTGTAAGATTTGAGGGGTGATTAACAGGAGCAGGTTACATTTGCTTTTCTTACTATGAATTGTTTGAGGTGAGTTTTGCTGTCCCCACCTCACAGATAATAAATAGCTCCTCTCCTAGAGGCAGGATCCCATTGTAGGAGCAGAGGTTGCCCTTTTACCAGTGTTGCCACAGAAAGCTGACTGTGCAACCTAGGGCAAAGTGAGGAGCTTTTCTCTACTTCAATTTCCTTATCTGTTACTAGGGCCAATAAAGTCACTCATGAGCATGGAGAGAACAGTAAGAACGGGGCCAAGCCATAGAATCGCTCAATAGCCCTAATAATAATCAGCTTTCTTCCTTTTTAAGTTCGAGGGAGATAAAGATGTAATTATTACCCTCAGGAGGTTTCAGGAGACTATGTAATTCACCATATTCCACAACACGGTTTCTCTGTATTGGATAAGCACATGCCCGTTGTAAGAAGAACAAGGAGGAACAACCTCCGCATAATTGGTGTTGCTGATGATCAACTCAAAGGTGATCTTTGCAGACTCCACCTTCTGACTCTGGAGTGGAGACTCCTGGGAGGTAGGGGGTGGAGCAGAGCTGCCATGTTGACCTTAAAAAGAGATGGCTCACAGGTGTGACTGGCCTCTCTTTAGCCTTCCCCTTGCACCATGATCTCTGCACAGCTGGTGCTCTCTGCTCTGGGGCTTCACAACATCTGGCCACAGGAAGGCCAACATATCATTTCCTTCTCTCTCAACTCTCCCTTTTCTCACTTCCTATATAAATAATTCCTTTTAAATCTTTCTTCAATTTTCATTTTTACTCGTCTCTGTGTATCTTGCATCCTTAAGTATGTGGGTGAGGACTCATGATCCAGGTCTTTCCCGTTCTCCCAGGCTTGACCCTTAATAGCCTGGCAACCCCTAGCTAATTCTCTGCTGAGCAAATCTAAATTATGACTGGTGCCAGAATTTCATCTTTTTGCATTACAGAAACTAAAGGATAAATCGGGTATTTAAGTATTTGAAACAAAGTAGAGACACAGCTGGTAGAGTGCAGTGGAGGAATCACCTGTGCAATCCATGGACAAGGGCAGCCCCCTCAGCTGCCACCAGGGAGGGCTGACTGGGCGGGGAGCATGCGCCTTCTTAAGTAGCTTTCTGTGTTTTATATTTTTAGCACTCTGTCTTTTAAAGAATGCAAATGTAGTTCTGTGGGGCAGAGAAAAGCCTTGTTATTTGGTAAATTGGGCTTCCACTTTCGTATTCATCAAAGCCCAGAATGATGGTGGTTATAGGGGATGAAAGATTGTTGAAATGATAGATTGAGTACTGTATTTCTTAGGTTATGAAGTTCAGGAAAATGTGTAATTATTTCTGGGTTTCCTAAGGTTCCTCTGTTCCACATAATCTGACATACAACGGGACAGTTCCAGATATGGAATGCAAATCAGTAGGTGCTGGCCTGGCTGCTGGTGCCGGGGTTAATCATGCAAATCTAATGCAGCGCTTGGTATTTCAAGAAAGGTTTTAGTTGAAGTCTCAGGCACATATTGATTTAAAATTCCTACTTCAGAGAGCAGTGTAATTTTTTTTAACTTCAAAATTTAAAATATAGAATGGGCTTTGGAGACTGATTTAGTAACTGGACAGCCATCCATACTTGTTCATCATGGAAAGCACTCTTGCTTTTCCCAAGGTGCAAACCCACATGATTCCTGTGTTTAATTTCATAAGTTAATTTACACTAATTCATGCACCTGAATCTCAACCCTCTGCGCCTGGTGCAGTTTTGCCTGGTGAATAGAGAGTACATACTAGGAACCTGGATAGGGTGATTATGGTTTATTTAGAAGGGATTTATACAGTTCTAGAGGTTAAAGGTGTCCTTAAGACCCCCTGGTTTAGGGGGACTGGTGGTGGAGGTGGGAGAGTTGGGCACCCTCAAAAAGGTGGTGATTTCTAAGCACATTACATAATAGATCTAAATCTACTAATATTCTGTAGTCAGTTACTTTGCTTAGAATAAAAGCAAATCACCCCATTATACTTGTTTACTGGAAGTCTGCTCTGTTCCAAGAAGATGCCTGAAACTGCCAAGGACAAACCAAATCAATCTATTACCCCCCAAAGTTCCTATCCTGGGGGCGTGATATGCCATACCTCTGGCAGTGAGAATGTTTACAGGAAGAAATGCACTTGTCTTGCTCACAATGCGAGCAGACCTGTTTCTCTCAGCCTCCTGCTGTGCCCAAGCATCAGCTTATCTTTCCAAGAACAATAAGTCTCATGTTCTGCTGCCTGACACGAGAATTATTTTTACATCTCTCCATATCGCTGACTCACTCGTAAGCTAATCTCATCTCACATGAATTTTTCACCAGCTTCACTCTGATGTTGATAAAGGAGATGGCTCCATCAAATACATCCTGTCAGGCGAAGGGGCGAGTTCCATCTTCATCATCGACGAGAACACAGGAGACATCCATGCCACCAAGAGGTTGGACCGCGAGGAGCAGGCCTACTACACGCTGCGTGCCCAGGCGCTGGACCGGCTCACCAACAAGCCCGTGGAGCCCGAGTCCGAGTTCGTCATCAAGATCCAGGACATCAATGACAATGAGCCCAAGTTCCTGGACGGCCCGTACACCGCAGGGGTTCCCGAAATGTCTCCTGTGGGTGAGTACAGCGCAGGCCGCCTTGGCTGTGGCTGCTAGGAGGGGCTCGAATTCACAATCCGGTGGTGAAAAGTTCTCAGGCAATAGAAACACTACATGAGGGTTTGCATAGCAATGGGCAGACAGGACGAGGGGAATAGAGGAGACGTGATCTCTCCCAGCACCCAGCGCCTCTCATTCAACCTGCCATTTTATTTCTATGCAATTAGGTGATTCCTCCTTATACACAACTGTCTTTTGATATTAACTCAGCGACCTGAATTAGTGTCAAGTACATGCCGAAGGCATTTGAAATCACTTTCTAAAATGTTCTGCACCTATGGAGTCACTCATGTAACAGAAGTAGCTCACATGTGCGTGGAGTTTGCTATTTCATACTGGATTGTAGATTAATGCCAATCACACAAATATGCAGTCTGGAGCCATTCTGCCAAAGATGTCAATATCATGGGATATTTCGTAGGTCTTACACTCCCTTTTCACGTTAATATTTACATTTTTAGAAAATGATTAAATAACACCTACAGAGTTTTGAAAGAATCCTTCCAGGTGCAGCCCTGTGATGATCTTTCTCCTGAGATAAGAATAATTATCCTCTATTTTCTGTTTTCTGCCTCTCTCTCTGGTCGAGGTTTTAGGCAGGCTGTCGGAGGTGGCCAGGCTAACATGTGAGTCAGCAGGTGTATTTGCTTACAGAGAATGTGCCTGAACCCACAAATGTCCATCCTCATGCCACCACTGATCTTTTTGATTTTTCCAGAAACTCAAATGCATGGAAATGTATACTAAGTTTATAATAATGGTAAATGGTGCTCATTTGAGGTATATAAATGAATAATGAAGACTTATTCAAAGATCTTTTGACATTGCCACATTGTTGGAAAAAATAGAAAGTAAAGTATTTCAAGTTTATCCTTTGGTTAAATAATATGAATTTGAATTGAAGGGATTCAGGTATGCCTAGGTTCGTTTTCAGCCATTATGTAATTTTAAGTATGAAAGATCTTAGAAAACAATAAAAAATTAAGGGGTTAGAGTAGATACCAATTTATTCTTGTTTTTAAGGAAGTTTATTTTACAGAAGGAAGTTTATTTAAAATAATGATTGGACTTGTATTTTTAACATCTGAAAAATTTCCTTTGGGGTGGAGCTTTTCTTTAAATCCGGGTCATTTCCTGCATCCCACCATCCAATCATTCTTTGCTGTGCTGGGACACAAAGGCATCTCAGTTGGTGACTTTGTCTTCTATAAGAAGAAAGGGGAAAATTATTTGGGATGTCATGGTTCTTGCTGTTCAAGAAACTCAAATGAGCCAGAGGTGAGGTGCTTGTGGAAAGAAACCCATCTCTTCTTGGGGGTGAGGGGCAGGTGACAACATCTGTCTCTAGGAAGCCTGCTCTGAGCACTTTCTTTATCAAATAGGATCCTATTTTCTCCACACTGCCAGACCTCAGAGGGCTTCCTGCTGTTGCAGCTTAACGAAAGCAACAGCCAAGACAGCAACAGCAACATTTTGAATTTATTAGAGAAATGAGTAGGCACTTCCCCCTCCAATCAGTAATGCTTACAAAAACAAGAATTTTTGAGGTATGTTTGAACAATTCAACTCCATGAGTCTCGTGGCTCTTTGGGTATCTTTCATTGGCTTGCAAGGTTCTTCCTTCCCCCCATTGAATGTTGCTATGGAAATTCCATAATGTGAACTCCCTGTTTAGGAGGCAGAGTTTTACACTGTCATTTGGGTTTCCATGATGCCAGATTGCATATGGGTGTGACTGATATCAAATTGCGTGTGACGTGCACGTGTGAGCTCTAGCAGTTATTTGATGATGCTATAGGGGCAGAACTTTTTAGAAAATGCTTTCAGATATCCTCAGGATGTACTTAACACTAATTCAGACGGCTGGGTTAATATCAAAATTCAACCTAAGCACAAGGAATAAGGTGCGTTACGTGGATTTATAGTGAGTCATAGTTTATCAAGGTTTTTAATTCTACCCAAAGAGTTTTAATGGCCTCTAAGAGTCGGCTATATGCAAGCTTTCAGTGTTGATTATTTAGGACTGTTTCTTTCACTGGATGCTAACTGTAAGATTTAAAACATCCTAATAGGCCCCTAGGATGGTTTATTCATTGCCAAGAGAACATAAATAACCATGGGAAATTTAAAGCTATTTGAGAATGTGTGTTAAATTAATAAACACATCAGAAGAAAATATATGCAACCAAATTTACTGAATTTCAGTTTTCATTTCTTTAAAGTTGTTTGTATCACTAGAATAGATGCTGCTTTAAAGTGGTGCATTATAAAGAAAATAGAGATCATCAATGTCATTTAATCTAACATCTTAAAATACTCGAAATTTAATTCTTAAAATTGTTAAAAAATAGATGTCATTCACCAGTTGGTTCTTTTAGGAATCCGTAAGCGCAGTAATCAAAGTCTGTCAAAGGAAAGACTTAAGAATTAAAAAGTGGTGCATGTATGTTAATAGCATGTTACACAGGGACAAGGACATAAAACAGACCTGGTCACATCTCCATCACTTGGACATAAATAATAAAATAGCAGATTCTGAAATATATAAACTTAGAAAGCATGAAGTATGAAGTATGATATTTTCAAGATAATACTCCAAATGGATATAAAGAAAATAGGATACAATAAAATGCCTTCCATGTTGAATAATAGTGAAATAAAGAATCACTACAATCAATCCCATGAAATGTGGAAAAACATCTAGCCATGTGATTTTTAAAGTTGTCATGCTTTTCCTCCTCTGGGGTTGGGGGGATATTTGGTTTCAAGTTTCATTTTTTTTTAAATCAAAAAGTACAAAAAATAAAAAAAAAACTATCATCAATAGCATAGGGTAGCCATCAAATATCAGTTGAATAGTCTTTAATCAGTGAGTGAATTTTTAATTTCTGTCTGGATTTAATGAGCTATAACAATGAGTTCTCCTGAACAATTGGGGTGTCACGATGCTGTTACTTCTCATGCTGCCTTTTGGACAGTGATTGAGACTTAATAGAGATTACTTTTATAAAAGTGTTTTACCAGGCTCTAGTGGCTGAGTTATCTTAAGTGTCAGCACATCCCAATTCTGAGCCTATCCCCGCCCAACAAACTTCATCATTCTTAAATTTTGCCACCATGTTTTCATGTCCCTTGACTATGTCTAAGGACTTTATTAACATTTATCATCTTTTGGGGTTTGTTGTATACAAAAAAAAAATACTGTACTTATTTTGCTGTCAAGACACATGAAAAATAAATCCAGGGCAGGCTCTGTAGCATTTTATGAGTGCTTACGTTTTGTGGCAATTAGCAGTTTTTAATTCAATGGCTTTTGCATTGGCACATAGGGACCTCCGTGGTACAGGTGACAGCAACGGATGCTGATGACCCCACCTATGGCAACAGTGCCCGAGTGGTCTACAGCATCCTGCAAGGGCAGCCGTATTTCTCTGTGGAACCAAAGACAGGTAAACACTGCACTGTGACTCTCCTTGTAAAGTGATCATTGCCCACCTGTCATTGAATTAATATTACTTATTTTTATTCTAATTAACACTGATCATGGCCACTGTATTTGTATTGTGTTTCTCACTATGTGCAATTTTGGTAATAAGTAGTGTATAATATAGAGATGTTAGTATTTTTAAAGGATATTTTATAACACTTCTCATTATTCCTGCCAAAATAAAACAGAATAGTATATATTAAACATATTTCAGCTGTTGTCTTCTGAATATTTAAGAAAGTGTTGATTCTTTAAGTTTTAGATTTTCTTTTTTGGTTTCCATAATTATTTCACGTAAGAATTACACAGAGTAGAGCTTAAATCTCCAGCAGAAATCTCCTTGCCATGCAGTGGAACAGGTAGTAAGTTCAGTTTGCCCTTCCAAAAAGTTGGTTTTCTCAAGGTATAGCACATAAATATAGAAATTAAGATGATGATCTGCTAAATTAAATGGTTATTTTTTAATTTAATATTTTTCTATGACTTACAAAACTGGTGTAAAGACTGATTTGTTGCTAGATATTCTGTTTTGCTTTTTAGCTGAACTAGTTTAATTTATGCAAGATTATAATTTGGAGCATTGTTACGTTGCTTATAAAATAATATTTTATCTACTCTGCTCTTCTAGCTTGTGTGTAAGGAATGGGTGGGTGTGAAAATGGGTGGGTGCATGCTGTTGATTTTCTTCATCACTGTAAAAATCCAAAATTTGTCTACATAATAATTTTGTTTTTATCACGGGAAGAAGAATTCTTCAAATAACCAACTTGATGATTATGAATGTTTGTTAGTACCAATGATCCTAAATGAATATTTTCATGCCAATTATCTTGTTTTCCATATTTTAAAAATGGCAATATTAATTCATTCTCAAATCTCCACAGGGGATAAATATTTTAAATGTCTTTTGGGAACGGCAGTGGCAATGTGCATGAACAAAGGAATAAATTCAATCCTAGCTCATCATCTCATCATTCATTAGGGTTTTCTTTAACTTTTTTAAAAAGATTTATTTATACAAGAACTGGGGTACAGGTCAGATGCATAGGAGGGTGAGAGGACTCACCAGAGACAGAGCGGGGAACAGAACAGGCAGACTGACTGAAATACACTGTTGAGAAGAGCGGTGGGTGAGACAGGAGAGGTCTGCTGTGCCATGTGGTTATCTCCCTGACCGGCTGGGATCGAACCCACGCTACAGAGGCTGTGGACAGCTTCACAGTGCGGCATTCAACTGCGCCACCAGGGAGGCCCATTCATTAGGGTTTTCATCGAGATTGCGTTGCATATCTTATAGCAATGTAGTGGTGGAGTTTGAAAGCCACCTGGAAGGTCTAATAGAGAAGAAAGAGTGCTGATTAAGCAGATATTGAAGGAGAAGTAAATGGAAGTATTTGATTTATGGTAGGAATCCTGTGAATGTAGAAAGGATGCTTGGGGTTGATATAATGATAGATCTGAGAAACCTGAATTCAGACACCCACCCGTTCCCTTATATATCTACGCTTTGCTGCCTAGAAAGACATTGATGAGTTTCTGACAATTTGCTCACAAATTATACACTCCTGCATTATATAACCTGCCCCAGAATAGCATGTAATAATCCCAAGACTTAAATATTTTGGTGCTACTAATGATTGGCTTGCAATTTTAGCTTTGTTGTAAGATAATAGGTTTTTCAAAAGCTCTGTGGCCGGAAACTGGCCAGTGGGTTCGGTCTTGGGATCACATTGTTTAGTTCTTCAAACTTGAGTTTCAGAATCTCAAGGGCTGTATTACAGAAGGGGGAGAAAGTTTAGTTTAATTTTATTTTGTTTTTAAGGACATCATCATGGTGATCATTGGAACTTCTCCTTATCTATTCATTAGTGAAGAATTATTCTGGGAATATTTATCCTCTGCTAATTCCTACTGTGTAGAATGCCTATTTGGCAATAATAATAATAATAAATAGTAGTAGTAGTAGTAGTAGTAGTTTTCTGACAAAATAGAAAAATTTCAGTCCTTAAGGACAGAGAGAGCTATAAATCAAGTTTAACTTAGTCTTCCTAACTGGCCGTCAGTATGATTCTTATCAGTGTGAGAAATAACATTATTTCCTCATCTCCACATCGAAGGGTTTTGAGAAGAAAGCAAAACTTGTAATTTTTTTTTAAAGATTTATTTATTTATTTATTTATTTATTTATACAAGCACTGGGTATAGTCAGAAATGCGGGAGGGTGAGAGAATTCATCAGAGCCAGAGCGGGGAACAGAACAGGCAAACTGACGAAATACACTGCCAAGAGGAGCAGCAGGCACAGCAGGAGAGGTCTGCCCGACATGTGGGACCCTTGCCGGAGGCCGGGGATCAAACCAGAGATGCAGAGGCTGCAGGCAGCTTTGCAGCCCAGTGCTCAACCGCTGCGCCACTAGGGAAGGCCCAAGAAAGCAAAACTTTAGACAGGAAAATGACTGAAAATATTCTAAATCAAGATGTAAAAATAGGTCCACATGAAACCACTGCCAGGTGTATTTCTTTCAGTTTGTCTAACTTTCTTTTAAAAATGAATTATAACATTATACGATCAATAATAATCACTATTTCTTAATCATATGTCGTTAACCTAGCACATATTTTATCTGAGCTCTACTAAAAGTCCAATGACCAGAAGTGGATTGTATTTTCTACCTTAATGTTTTCCATCCACCATACTAGAATGTGAGTATCTGAGAAAACCCACGTTGACAAGCAGAGCGCGTGGGAAAGACTGCAAAGAGATTGCATTAACAGGACTGCAGGGGTTCCTGTCAGCTGTCTTCATAAGGTCCGTAAACTTAGTGGGAATCTGAGGATTATTCTAAGGTATTCCCCTATCCCACAACCTTCAAGCAAACATCCCATTTCTCTATCTATTAGTGATATGGCCGGCCTGGATACTAATTTGCTGGTCAAAATAAAAATGCAGGCCCCTTTTGAAGTCAGTATGAGTTCAAGGTCACATTAGCTGACCAAGAAACCAAGCACCAGGCCAGGAGCCTTGAAGCTGGTCTAGAAAAGGAGTTGAGAGTTAAGCACCACTTGTCATTCAGGAGGTTTCGGGGTTTTATTATGTTCATGGTGCTAACTTCGGTTAGCAAAATTGTATATGATTTAGGAGTATAGGTTCACACCTCTTGAAATATGTTATCATGCCGTGACTACCCCAAAGTCCCAATAATCCTCTACCACAGCCCATTGTACCCCCTCCTACTGGTCCTCCCTAGTTCTCCTACTCCCCTTAGTGGTATCCATCTTGCATTCAGATTTCAGGGCTTTGCTTGGGTTTATTCTTGTCTGTTCTTTCTCAAACATAAAAGATGTGAGTACATAGTACCATGTGTTACATGCATACTCTTCACATCATAATTTTATGTGAATAATACGGTTATGACAAACCCCCTCCACAGTATGTCCTTATAGTAGCTTCATTCTGTGGCTTGGCTCAAGGTGCAAAAGCACTCACCCCATGTTGGGGCTGACGAAGGGTGTCCTCTGATGAGTTAGCAGACGCAATTCCTCCATGATTCTTTGATGCTAGTTCTGAAATTCTTTGATGAAGTTTCCAACTAATTATTATCATTGACTTTGCTCCATCTTTAGGGTTCTGTATGCTTCACTAACAGGTAGACAAACCAAGTAATATAAGATATAGATGCTAAATTTCAAAACATATGCAAACTTACAAGAGAGTGATTCACCTCGTATTACTAAGGTATATGGAGCCACACCAAATAAATGTCCCCAGCCTCTGGCTACCTGGGTCATGCTGTTGCCTAGATTCTTTTTTTTTTTTTTTTTTTTTAAATTTTTTTTTTTTTTAATAGAGGCATGTTTATTTCTTTATTTATTTGTTTTGTTTGTTTGTTCTGTTTACACATGCACTGGGTACAGTCAGAAGCGCGGGAGGGTGAGAGAATCCACCAGAGCCAGAGCGGGGAGCAGAGCAGGCAGAAGGACAGAAGTACACTGCTGAGGGGAGCAGCGGGCGGCAGGAGAGGTCTGCGCACCATGTGGGACCCTCCTCCGGTGGCCGGGGAGCAGCCGGGGATCGAACCGGCGCCGCAGAGGCCGCGGGCAGCTTCGTAACCCAGCGCTCAACCGCTGCGCCACCGGGGAGGCCCTGTTGCCTAGATTCTTGACATTATTCCAAAGCTTGAGTGTGCAGCTTGCCGGCCCCAGTAGTGGCTTGGTTCCCTAAATGGGGTGGATGTCAGAAATGGCTCTTACATGTTAATGTAGTTCACATAAAAATCTTAAAAAGGGTTGTGTAGTAACAGACTGCTTAAAAAAAAATCAGTTATCTCATTGCAAATAATCTGATTGAAAAGAAGAGATATTAATGTTTTGGAAAGAGAAAACATCAGCAAAACTAATAGCTTTGATGCTAAAAAAATAATTATATATGTCATCAATGAGTGGTATGGCATTACAGAATCGCCTGTAAGTTTATTATCAGACTAAAAACATGCAGGCAGTTGTTGGGCAGAGGCATGATCAAATTATGCTTCAGAGGCATGTGGATTATAAACAAATGAAAAGTTCTGGGTTACTAGGTCAGATGAAAAATTATTACTCAAATGCCTAAAACCTGAGTCAGTTTCTTTTCTGAAGCTATTAAGGATATATCTTTCTCATAGTAAGCAGCTAAAATTGATTATTTAAATGAAATAATATCTTCCATGAGACGCTCACAGAATTAGGGATCTGTTTAGACAAGACTAGTTTTTATCACTTCAGACACTGCGTTAGCAGTTTGCTCTGTGTGTGTGTGTTGTGTGTGTCTAGTAACATATAGCAAAATGCAAATCAAATACAGTGTTTGAGAATTCTTTTCCAAATGTCAACAGTTTATAAAAATAAAAAGCTAACAGAAGCCATGCAACCAAAAATCTATTACTTCTGAATGTTCTTATTTGAAATCAGTTTTCTCCCAATTATTCCATTCTTGTCAAAAATATGGTTAATATTTGAGGCGATTGGAAATTACCTTTGCCACCTGCATTACTTTGCAAACTTTGTTATGATTTTTACTTTGGAAAGAGTTATTTATAGGGTCATTGTAGAGAGACATTAGAGGTGTAAAAATATGAGTAACTATTTTCTTTGCCAGTAAATGCTGTATTTCCTTTCAAAAATTATGCCACTAAGCAAAACCACAAAAGGATGAGGCTGCAGTGTTCTGGAACCCTCTCTATGATAATAAATGTGCAAGGTTAAAAACTCCTATTGATATTGGATGGAAAAGTAACTATTAAAACTGCACCAGTAGGAACTTTTTCTAAAAATAACTCATTAATATTTTGTGATCTAGATGAAACACTCTTATTGGCTTATTATTCAAGACAGCGAATACTCAATTACAAAAGAGGGTTAAAATACATAAAAGGTGACTAACATTAAAACAAGGAAAGATGGAGGTATATGTCTTAGACTGGACAGATAAATTTTTTTATGCTTGGTAACAGTGAGTATTTGGAGGTCAGTCATTTTTTGTTTATTAGAGCTCACAGAAGTATTGAAAAACATGAAATATTCATAGAACCATTATACCTCTAAGAAGAATATGTATCATACACTTATCCACTGAAACAAATGCATATATGACTATGTTCCTTTTGATTTTCATTGTGCTGTTTCAAAGATTCATTATAAGCAGTGTGTAGATAAATGAACTCCTCTGGTGGGGGTGTTGAAGTAGACTTGAATTAATGTGATTGTAGTGTGCCCAATTACTGTATTAGAATTAGTGATTAATGTTGATAAAAATGGACCCCCAAAATATAATTTAAACGCTTAAAATATTAAAGTGTGGTTGAGATGTGTCCGTGTTTCATAGTTGATTCTAGAACCTGAACTAAAACAGGGTTCAGTGAACAAGAGAGTTAAATATAACTTGAAATCTTTAAACAGTAATCGCTAAATTATTCTCAAAATTTTGACAAGCTTTTCTCATCTGTCTCCACCCACCCAGGACAGTTACCAAACTAGACTATTGGGACATGCAGGGCAGGCCTCCTGTGGTGTAGCTTTACAACACACAGACCACTATTTCACATGCCTGTGACAGACCAGCCTTTGAAAAATTTTCATTGGCTGCTTAAAAATGTTTTTGCAATTTTGAAGGATATCAGATACTTTTACACTGAATGTGAGGAAAGGGTATGTTTAGCCCACTTTGTCAGCAGTTATTTTCCTCACAAAGAGCCATCCTTTATGGAAGAACTCTGCTTGTCCCCAAGAAGGTCGTGACATCGGTCTTCCTTAGGTCTGAGTTAGCTAAGATTTACAATCTGACATCACCCTAAAAGTTAGAATTTATTTATTAAGGTGGATTATATATTTTTCAAGGTAAGTTAATAAATTTAATGGCCTTAGGTGGAGAGGTGAAACATTGGTTTTGCTGGAAAAGACAAAAGTGCAAGAAAGGGTGAGGTAGGATTCTAGACTTCTATTACTGCAGGTGGCATCCCATGCCGAGTTTCAGGGTCTATGTTGATTGGTATTAACTAAGTAGCTTTTCACTACTGAGTATATAATCTTACATATTTATTTCACTTTGCATATTTATGGTATAGCAGTTAAAATTTCAAATTAGATACTATTAACTAGCATAGACAGTGATTAATTAGTTCTATAATGATTAATTAGTTCTATAAAACAACTAATTCACTTCAATAATAACTATTGAATTGTTTCTCATCAAAATATGTTCTGAAGTCAATTTCTCATATAGCTGAAGTCTCAAGGCTATTGCTATTAACTGCAATTAAATAGAAACTCACAGCACTGATACTTTTAATGTGGCTGGTTTCCATGAGCATGGTCTTTTCACCTTTCATACTTTTCCTCAATCACAAGAGATAGCATCAGCTATGGTCTCCAGCATCTTTGCTGCTGATTGAAATGGAATTTTGCTTATTAAACATAAATCACCTTCATCCTTTTCTTTGTAGAATGTTTCTGCTCTCTTCTCTGTAGAGAGGCAGAGTAGGTACCATTGCTGAACTGTTTAGGGCATGTTCATGTCACCAGGAATTAAGTTGTTGGAGAAGGTGAAAGAGAAGTAAAGGAGATTCATTGTCACGTACTTGTACCAATAACTGGCCTATTATTCTAGGATAAGGTGGAACATTTTATCATTTCTGGGTTGGTATTTTATGAACCATATTTCCATAAAACTTAAAGATAATCCTCTATCCAACACCAAAGGACCCTGCTCTTCCATTTTCTATAATATGCAATAATATTTTAATTATCATATATAACTGGCATGTCCCTTCGGTCTTTAATATGCATTAAAATCATTAAAGATGAACCAACAAAACTACAAAAGACAACTCAAGAACAGCTTGCTACCTATATCAATATTCTATGTTGGTAGAAATGTAGTGATTCATGATGCATTTTACTGGGATTTGAAATTTTACAGGAGTCATCAAGACCGCCCTTCCAAACATGGATAGAGAGGCTAAAGACCAGTATTTGCTTGTTATTCAGGCAAAGGATATGGTTGGTCAAAATGGAGGACTCTCAGGAACTACTTCGGTCACCGTGACCCTAACTGATGTCAATGATAACCCACCTCGCTTTCCTCGAAGTAAGTGATTTTCTTAAAAGTTGCAAGTGCTTTAGCTTTCCTTGCCAGTCTAAAAACATAACTTTAAAAAGGAATGTTTTGTGCATATAGCTCTCAAACAGATAATTCTATTATATTCTTCCAAATTTTTTTTTATCCAAGGCATGATTTTAATTCAGAAAAGTGGAATAATTGAACATGAATAGAAGCGATCATATACTTGTATGGCTTCTATCATAAGTATAATGTGGCTTTGCTTCTGTTCACATTTGGATAGACAATTATTAAGTGTGTTTACGCATCAAATGTGTTATTCCAACTTCCTCTTTATACGTCCTGTAAGTTACAAATTTGTTGGCAATTAATAAAATTCAGATACAATTCATGAATTCTATACACTAAAATATGCTTTATTTTTAAAGCTCAAAATAGAAGTGTGCTGGAGTTTTCAATTTTTATTCCACACTTCTTTTTTAACCAATTTTCATGCACATTGGACATTCCTTTAGCAATTTTACTTCTTCCTTGTGCAAACACTCAGCGTTTCAAAAGAAATCAATCCAAAGAACCATGAAAGAGCAAGCCCTGAATTTAGTTTATTTGACCAAAGTGACTTTTGACTTAACCAAGAAAAAGGAAAAACAATTCTCGAAGGAGAGGTGCCTGATTGTAAAAAGCATTTCATATTATTCTCTTTCAGGTGTCTTTTTTTGTTTCCTGTAAGTGTATGTGATAGTTCCTTAAAATACTCAAGAAAATAAGGAAATTGCCCTTGTAAGCTCCATTACAAACACATCTTTAGAAACAAAGAATGTTGATCAAGGAAACTTTCTCACAGATATGAATGTCACTGTATTTCCCTTCAAATACTGCTTTAGATGTTTCATTTTCATTTTGCATACATGTAATATTTATATTATTTTGCAAAAAACATTTTAATATACATCCTGGAAAAATAAAAATTACTCTAGGTAGTAATTAAAAAAAAGATCCATTCTTTTTTTGTTTTTAAGATTTATTTTATTTATACAAGACCCGGGGTACAGGCCAGATGCGCAGGAGGATGGGAGGATTCACCAGAGACAGAGCGGGGAACAGAACAGGCAGACTGACAAAATACACTGCTGAGGGGAGTAGCAGGTGAGGCAGGAGAGGTCTGCTCACCATGTGGGTTGCTCTGAGGCTGGTGGGGATCAAACAGGCACTGCAGAGGCTGCGGACACCTTCACAGCGCTACGCTCAACCGCCTTCGCCATCAGGGAGACCCCCCAAAAGACCCATTCTTAATTGTACTCTTGATGGCTTGTAGTAGGGGAGGAGAGTAGGGTTGTGAGTAAACAACAGTACAATAATGCAACTGTCTTGGACTCATGATTATATTAACCGTTTCTCTTTAAACCTAAGAGTGGTTAAGACACAGAATTTTTGTGTTTTCACTTCCTAAAATTTGGTAAGACAGAGTTTAGGTTTTCTAACTCATTAGCTACTCTCCCTCTTACTAAATGAGGGAGGCTAAGAATAGGTCACTAGGGTTGCAGTTTTCTAGAATTTTCTCTACCATCTAACTACTACTTTAATATTGACATTTTTAGATTGTACTAAGACACTACATGACGTGTGAGAGAGGTCACTCAAAGAGTGATAAGGACATGTGATCATTGTTTTAAAAAATCATCATGCACAAAATTTAGAACATGGAAAAGAGCAACAAGCAATTCTAGCAATCCTCAGCCGAAATGTATTACCTTCAGATGCGTACAATTTCCTTCATATTCCTCTTAGTAATAGGTGCATTTTGACTTCATAAGAAAGTGGCAATGTACCACATTTAACAACCAAAAGGAAATGGAATAGGGTGGAAGAAGCAGGGAAAGGTAGAAGATCAGAGAAGTGTGGAGAGGGCATATAATGTTCTGAGGCACTTCCTTCTTTCAAAGGGATAGATGATTCATGTGTTTCATCTGCTTTCCAAACTGTTTTTTTGGGGGTTTTTTTTGTTTTGTTTTGTTTTGTTTTTAGTTGAGGGAATGTTGAAACATTTTCATAAAAGACAGGTGAATAAAAATGTCTTTCATTTTTTTTTTTTTTGTTTTTGCTCTATACCATTGTATCCCAAATAAGTTTTACATACCCCCCACATGAATCGTTACTCTCTTTGGTAAATTTGTAAGCTAATAGAAGAGTAATGTTGCTTTCATAAACTTCCCTGTCCAACATCCTGAACTTTTTAGTTATTAAAAAATACTTTGTTGAAAATAAACTACTATTTAAACTCTAGCATTAAATAATCAGGATTATTTGTATTTATATTTGCTTGCTTGAAGCCTAAGCTATACTATTTTATTTTTTAATTTTCATAGCATATATTTATGTATTTTTGGCCAATGACTATTAATGCCAATTACAATTATTTTAATTTTTTTAATTGTTAAAATTGCATGCTGCTCACTACCAGGAATACAAGGATGGAGACTATACACTTGCCTGTCTTCACATCATCTGTTCCCGTTTCACCTGTTGGTTTATGAGCTAACCATCCTCACAAACTCTCTGAGGCTATGTAACCTTGTCACTTGCTTCAAATTGCTGTGCCATCTTCCTTATCAAAAATAGAAATGAATTAAGCAAAGAAGATGCAAAATAGCCAAACAACCATATTATTGCATTATTATTGGTTAGATTGGTCCAAGGATTTGTTCATTTCTTGTTTTCACTTTCACAGGGTCTTACCAGTATAATGTTCCAGAATCACTGCCAGTAGCTTCTGTTGTGGCCAGAATTAAAGCAGCCGATGCAGATATAGGTCCTAATGCTGAAATGGAGTACAGAATCGTGGATGGTGATGGAATGGGGATTTTCAAGATTTCTGTTGACAAAGATACTCAGGAAGGAATCATTACTATACAGAAGGTAGGGTCTTTATTTTTATTTTCTATTAGGGTAACATTACAGAGATTACTGAGAAGCCACGTCTGCTTTGAAGGAGGAATGTGTCAGGCAAACTGAATGCATGTGGAACCATTTTCAATTTAATTTCAGGAAGAAAAGCTATGCATTTATATGTCAGAGTCTTAGAGAATCTTAAAAGACTTTTATAAACACAGCCCATGAGGTCTCTTTTGTGAGTAAACCCAGCTTTTATCAAGAGCACTATAACAAGATGACACATGAGGAATTGTGCATCTAAATGACCTACATGGAGAGATGAGGATGCTTCTTCATTGAATGTGCCCATAATGGAGCCCTAAAGTCATCCAAAAACCTTGTAAGTCAAGTAGACTCCACGTGCATGAAAACATTATAAACTCAGAAGTAGAAACCAAACTGTTAAAGTCTGGCTGTATTACCAGTTATTTCACTTAAAAATTTCTATGAATGAATTGAAATACTTGAGTTTATAGAAAGAGAACACGGAAAGTGGTGAAACCTATCATGCTCTCTTAAATATAGATGCAAAGGAGATAGAAAGTAGTTGTAATCCAAACTAAAAACTACTGGGTATGATGTGTTTAATCCGATCCCAGCACGGATTAGATATGGAGTAGAAGGGGCCCTTGACCCTCTTCCTCTTTGTAGACATGATCTTTAACAAATGGTAAGTTAAAAAAAAAATCGAAAGGAATTGTTTCAGAAAATTGTTTTATTGTCTCAAGTATTTGAAGAACTAAATTTAAAATATTTATGAAAATCTCCACCACTGATGTGCTAGGATTTTATACTAATCTTATGATGGTCCAGGTGTATAAATCAGTAATTAACATTCCTCAATAATTAACACACATCAACAAAAAAAGGTAGATTTTTGTTGTTCTTGGAAAACATATGCTTGATTTCCAGCCAATGGGCAAAACATTTCTGCAGTTATTTCCAGTGGACAGCTGCTGTTTTAGTTCAGCTGGTTACAATGTATGTGAAAGTTTTAATAATGGGACTATGCCCACTGTTGGTTAAATGATTTAGTGTCTAAAATGAAAGGAATGTAATAAGGTACATTGCTGCAAAAAAAAATTAAAAAATTTCAGCTCTAAAAGGCAATCTATCTGCTCATATTGAAGAATTTTTACATGCACATTGAAATTACTTTTATCAGACACATATGTACTTATATATTGCAATGGAGGTAGCATAAGGTCTTGAAGAAAGGATTTTTTTTAATTATTTATACAAGCACTGGGGTACAGGACAGAGGCATGAGAGGGTAAGAGAATCTACCTGAGACAGAGCAGGGAGCAGAACAGGCTGAAGGATTGAAATACACTGCTGAGGGGAACAGCAGGCGAGACAGGAGAGGTCTGGTGCACCATGTGGGTATCTCCCTAGCCAGCTAAGAATCGAACCTGCACCACGGGGGCTGCGGATAGCCTCTCAGTGCTGCGCTCAACCCGCTGTGGTACCCGCTCAACCAGGGAGGCCCAAGAAATGTTTTTATATACAGATGTTCTCAGTTTCTTAATAGTATTTGTAGAGGCTATAGAGAATTAATTGTTAAAAGAAACCCACAAAAAGGTGATAAATGCATTTAACCTCAAAGCTTAAAATTCATGTAAAACAAGGGGGAATATAACTTACAATATAGAACATAGGTAGTGATGTTTTATTGGGCTTTGTTTTGAGTAACTTAAAGGCTTTATTATACTCAATTTTCTCAACACCCCCTCATGTAGTTATTTATTAGTAATACACTGAAAATATAGAAACAGACCATCCCATGGTAGAAGAAACAGTTAAATAATCTCTGATCTTTCCATATTCCATCTTGCACATCAGTGAAATGAGGTAGTAATATTCTCTTATCATATTAAAACATAACATGGGAAATGATTATATGAAGAAGCATGTAAAAAGGAGTATTTGATAATTTATAAACTTTCAAATTTCATGAAAATTGCGTTTATATAGAATAAAAGATTACAAGAAACTTGTCAAAATATTAACAGTAATCCTGTCTCTTCACTGTTTTTCAATAATAAAGGATATACATTAGATATTGTTACAATTAAAATGGTATTAAATGTATAAAATTGTCATTAAAAAGACCAAATATATATAATTAACAGACTATTCTAATATAGTTTGAATTTTGTCGTGGGTGTAAACTCTTGATCAATGCAAAAATAAGGGACAGAGTTGCTGGTCAGTGAGAGCAAAATTTGGGTTCCATAATTTTTAAAGGCTTATCTATTTGAGAAGTTAGTTGAGTGTTCCATTAATTTCTTATGTTAAGTATAAGAGTTCTTACTGATATTACAATAAACAAACAAATAAATGGTCCCTGTAAGAGTTGATTAACAGTAATAGAAATTAAATATTAATATTTCTTTACACTTATGGTGTTATAGATTCATCTAGTTTCTAGATGAAAAAGTACGATTGATTTGTCATTTCCTAGCAATCATTTATTTATTAAAAAACATAGTTCACAGTTTTGTGCAACAACTACACCTCGCATTATACTAAGGTGTTGGCATTAATCAAGGCATGTCCTGTTTAAAACCCCCAAAAAAGGCCCACATTCCAACTCCTTATAAGGATATTAGAGAACCCTTGGCCCTCTAGAATTATGTAGACAGGTATTGGCCAGACACATATGCAACTTGTCTTCCTCAGTCCCAATAAAAGATCTACAGTAGACATTAAGTCATTTTTTTAAAGATTTATTTATTTATACAAGCACTGGGTACAGTCAGAAGTGTGGGAGGGTGAGAGAATTCACCAGAGCCAGAGTGGGGAAGAGAACAGGCAGAAGGACCAAAGTACACTGCTGAGGGGAGCAGTGGGCGCAGCAGGAGAGGTCTGTGTGCTATGTGGGACCCTCGCCGGAGGCCAAGAATCGAACCGGCACTGCAGAGGCTGCGGGCAGCTTCACAGCTCAGCACTCAACTGCTGCGCCAACAGGGGAGGCCCTAAGTCATTCTTCATACCTGGAGCAACTTAAACTTCCCTTTTTTTTTTTTTTTAAGATTTATTTATGCATACAAGAGCATAGAGAGGTGTGGGGGATGAGAGGATTCACCAGAGACAGAGTGGGGAGCAGAACAGGCAGACTGACTGAAATACACTGCTGAGGAGAGCAGTGGGTGAGTCAGGAGAGGTCTGCTGCGCCATGTGGGTTGCTTCCTGGCCGGGGATCAAACTATTGCTGCAGTGGCTGTGAATAGCTTCATAGGTTGCATCTTAACCCCTTGTGCCACCAGGGAGGCCCAAAAGAGAGATTTCTTATAGAGGTAACCCTGTGAGGAGATTTCTGTAGGAGCTAGCACGCTAAGTTCAGGTAAAGAGAGGTGTGGCAGTGTTACTGGAGTATAATGTGGATAGTGATATTGGCATCGGATGAGGCAATGCAAGTCAAGGACTCCTTTGCAAGGTCACGGCCTGTAATAGGAACATTGGTGTACAGTGCATTGCAAATAAGAGTGGACTGTAAATTCTAGACACTAAGGATATTTTGTGTGCAGCTATATAAAGTATACTAAAAAATAGAATTTTTTTTTTCTTGAACTTTATCAGAACTGTCAGTGGTAACATACATTTCATGCATTTCCCTTCTTTGTAAAGGATTGGATAGTATTGAGCACTAATGTTTATTTAAAATGGTATCACTCATTTGATCACCATCAAAAAACATACTGGTTTCATTTTCCTTTCTTTTTTTATTAAGTTTAAAGTCTTGTAGTCATATTTCATTTATTTCTTTTGGCCCATTATAGCTCATGGCTGCACAATTCTTTCTGTTCTCTTTGGTATTATTCTGAGGTTGATTATCATTGCTTAACTCTAAAACTGTTTTAATAGCTCCTCCTGAGTTCATGACCTGCTTTTGGTTTCCCAATCCTTAAATCCCTCCTTTTTTAAAAATGCTGCTCAAAACCCAACAGCATTCTATTTTATTATTCAAACTACCTTATACTAAGGAAACAAAATAGAGTGAATGGCAAATTGCAAGGAGATAGTAAAATAATCATCAACAGGTTATGCATTAGTTATCTTGAAGTCATTGAAGTGTTGTTCGAATTGATGAGAAGTAATAAAGAGCTCTATAAGTAAGTTAAGTCAGTAGCTTCAGTACAATTCTTGGGATCAAGTGTAGAGCTGTGGCCTTCAATCTACTCACAGTTGCTTCTCCCTATTGTAAATCAGGGGAGTGTGCTGCCTTCACCAAAATAGTCTTTACCCTCAAAATGAAGTGATGGTCTATCTTGCAACCAACTAATATTTTGATTGTCCATTTATTTTTTTTTGAAAAATTATTTTTATTCATACAAGAACTGGGGTCTGGGCTAGAGATGCAGGAGTTGAGAGATTCACCAGAGACAGTGGGGAGCCAAACAGATGGGTCTGCTGAAATACACTGCTGAGGGGAGCAGTGGGTGAAACAGGAGAGGTCTACTGCACCATGTGAGTCAACTTGTCAGCCGGGGATTGAACTTGTGCTACAGTGGCTGCCAATAGCTTGCTATTGCTGAGGCTTAACCCCTTGTGCCACCAGGGAGGCCCATTAATTGTCCATTTCTTAGAGTGCCTTTGCTTAACATTTTTATAAAACTCAAGTCTTCTTGGTATGGAATGAAATAAAAGAAAGAAGTCTCTCTTTAAGAATTCCAGATTCTGTCAGAACAACTTCTTGTGGTCCTAGAAGACAAGATTTTAATTTTCTTAAGCTATCACCTTAAATACCATCTTCAGGTAAAGACAAAAGAAGGTGTTGTGGGGAGGGAAGCCAGTTATGGGAGGTACCACAAAAAGCAAAGAAGACAAGTACATAGTTATGCAGATCAAATCTTGCCCTGTGTACTATGAGAGATGTAGTCAGCCTCTTTTTCCTGAGGAGACACCCTACAAATGCAACAGTTCCTTACAAAAGGGTTCCTGCTACTCAGTTTTCACAGCTTTCCCTATGTCAGCTGTTTCTT